CCCTCCTAGTATCTCTTTCATGCCCCTTGTTAGCTTTAACAATTATTCTCTTATACAACCTACGCCACACCAAACCCAACTCACCCCCACAACCCTCCGGCGCCCTCCCAATCCTCGGCCACCTCCACCTACTCGCCCGCCAATCCCCAACCCACCGAACCCTATCCTCACTCGCCGACAAATATGGGCCCATTTTCTCCATTCGCCTCGGGGCCCACAAAGCCGTCGTCATCAGCGCCCACGAACCCGTCCGCGACTGCTTCACCACAAACGACAAAATCCTCGCATTTCGGCCCGCCTCTTCCGTGGGCCTATACCTCGGGTACAACTACGCGGGCTTTGGGTTCACCCAGGGCCCGTACTGGCGCGAGGCCCGAAAGCTCGTCCTCCACCACCTCCTCTCCCCGCGGAGGCTCGAGAAGCTGAAAACTGCCCGGGAGGCCGAAATCCGGTCAAGCTTCGAGGAACTTCACGCCGGGGGCAATTTCGTCATTATTAGCAAGTGGTTCGAGGAGTTGAGTCTCGACGTGATCGTGAAGATGATAACTGGCAGACGGTACACGGACACTGCGCGGGGGAAGGGAGGCCGGCCGTTTAGGGAGGTGATCAAGGAGTTTATGTACGTGTCGGGTCAGTTTGTGTTGTCGGATGCAATTACGTTTTTGCCCCTGAGGTGGGTGGATTTCGGGGGTTACATCAAGGCCATGAAGAGGATTTCGGAGGAGTTGGATGGTATCACGGGAAAGTGGGTGGACGAGCATTTGGAGAGGGGGGTAAAGAGCGATGACGAGCGGGATTTTATTGATGTGATGCTTTCGGAGATTGATGAGAGGCTTTTGAGTTTCGGGCATGCAAAGGAAACCATTATTAAGGCGACTATACAGGTATGTTACGTTTTTTAACTGCTGTTAATGTTATGCACAAGTTTTTCTTTCTTTCTCTGTTTTATTCAGAGTTTGTAAGAAAATTTAGTGTCTAGGTTTGGTGCTGACTTGAAATTGGTGGTCAGTTTAGGTGAGCTGAATAGTGATAGTGGTCAGTTTTTGTGCTATATTGTCCAGAGCTGAAGACAGGACAGAGCGTAATGGAAAATGAATAAGATACATACATATATATATTTATAGGTAAAATATATCTATTAATCCGTTCTATTCATGTTATACTAAGATCTGAAGAGACTAAATATTTAGAGGGAAAATTTGCACCATTCGTCCACTAATTATACCCGAGTTGCACTTTCGTCCTTTAATTATTTTTTTTTTACTTTTGGTACACTATCATTTTTTTTTTGCAATTTTCGTCCAAATCGAGATTTCGGTGCTCATTTTTGCCGGAAAAGCTGATGTGGCACCGGAAAAGCTGATGTGGCGCACAATCCGACTGGGCGCCACATCAGCTTTCCGGCAAAAATGAGCACCGAAACCTCGATTTGGACGAAAATTGCCAAAAAAAAATGATAGTGTACCAAAAGTAAAAAAATAAAATAATTAAAGGACGAAAGTGCAACTCGGGTATAATTAGTGGACGAGCAATTTTTCCATATTTAGACAAAGCAGACTCCTATTTTTATGGTCAAATGACCCTTTTCCAAATTAAATTTGGTCCAGGCTGAGTCCTTTTTAGCCCAGTAACAAATTGTAAAAGCTGTGAGTTATTTGGAATGGAGGTTCTTAAATACATTTTTTTTTTTTTCTTTTTGAATAAATCATAAATACATATTTATCTGTGCCCAAATTATCAAATTATCAGAGCTTTCCTAAAAAATATTTGTTCTCCATGAATAATTACACGAAACAGAAGCACCGAAATGATTAAACCAACAACATAATTCATCACAAATTAACTTCATCCATAAACCATAAAACAAAGACGAGATTTCCGAGATTCTGTCTATCAGCAAAAAGTTGCCTCTCCAAAAAGTATTAGGAAAACACCCCTAGTTCATTTCTCTCTGCTTATTATACCACCTTTGATCTAATTCCACGTACATATTTTTCCTTGAAGAACCTCATCTTAGCAGGCTCGGACACCACATCAATCCACCTAACATGGACTCTCTCCCTACTACTAAACCACCCCAACGTCATGCAACGGGCTCAATACGAAATCGACTCAAACATCGGCAAAAACCGGTGGGCCCAAGAATCGGACATTCCCAACCTACCCTATCTCCAAGCCGTAATCAAGGAATCCCTACGACTCTACCCACCAGGCCCAATATCCGTACCACACGAGGCCTCCCAAGATTGCTGCATAATGGGATACAAAATACCAAAAGGCACGCGGATCATAGTCAACCTCTGGAAGCTGCATCGGGATCCGCGAATCTGGGCCCAGCCCGAAGACTTTGTTCCCGAGCGATTTTTGGCAGGCCACGCGGGGGTTGACTTCAATGGCCAATTCTACGAGTTTATACCATTCGGGTCGGGAAGGAGGTCGTGCCCAGGTGTCACGTTTGCCATGCAGGTGGCTCACTTGGTGCTGGCTCGTTTGATACAAGGGTTTGAGATCAAAACGGGATTAGATAAGGTGGTGGATATGAGTGAGGGGATGGGGATTACTTTGCCGAAGGCGACTCCGTTGGAAGTGGTTATTACACCACGCTTGGCGAATGAGCTCTACTATAGCTAGAGACTGTTATTACTCATATATATATTATCATCATTCTGTCAGGAAATATATAAGTAAGATAACCATATGAATGTAAAATATTAAGCTACCTGTTTAATTGGTTTCTGTCGTCTTGTGATGGAATTTAAAGTGGTGAGTTATGATCTCGGATTTCCTTAGGTAAACATGCGAAAAATCAAAATCAGTACATAGTTTAAACGAAAATGGAATCCAAAACACTTCGTTTTGGTCAAGTACGTACGTCAAAACATATTCCGAGGAATAAATATTGTAGAAAATGGCCTTCGCATATAAATACATCCCTTCAGGCTTCATAATGAGCATCGCGAATTCACTAATACAATACTATTACGCACTCTCTTTTATCTTTTATGTCGACCTCCTTAAAGGCAATCGGCAGTCTCTTTGTCCTAGCTTATTTCTCTTATCTGGTGCTAAACCCTTATTTGTAATCGTGAAACCAATTTAATATCCCCTTCAACAATTATTTTTTATCCCTAATCACTTTAATAACCTATAAATCCTCCCATTTAATTGTGGTTGACATCTGACTTTAAAAAAATGGCGTTAGAATGCTAAGTACTTTTAATTTTCACGAATTTAGTGAGTAATAAATTCTTAAATATAGCTAGAATCTAATGTAAATTTTATCTATAAAAAATATTAATGGCCCCAAATCAAGAAGATTTGTTTGCACTTATTGATACTCAATTGATTATATATTATAAATTAATAAATATTGTCAATTTTGTCACATATCATCTTTTTCATTTCAAAAGGAAATTATTCTTCCAAAAATGGTGTTAGGAATATCTGTTGTCAAACTCAAAAGATTATTAGATTACTCATACAGAAATATAGAAAAAAAAAATATTTTGAAAGGATACCAATTAAACTAACGGACTTGTAGGGATTTAAATCAAAAGGATAAAGGAAAACATGTGTTACAAAGAGTAAAAATTGGTTAGATAAATATTGACTCGTTCAATTTTTTTAAAATTAAAAAAAAAAGTGTTTAAGGCGGGATAAACGTGAACCAAATAAAAATGTTTTAGATAAATATTGACTCATTAAATTTTGAAAGAAATCTCATCCAAAAAGAAAGGTATACCATCCAAAAACAGTTTCCGAAAAAATTCAAAGTTTCAAAAAACAGATTTAAGCAGAATTCGAAAAAATTTCAAATACAATATTAGGGGGAAAAACAGGTTTTAAGCGGGAAAACGAAATGATTTTTTTCGAATTGTTCAAATAATTTTTCTTCTCCGTATTATATAGTAATAGATTTATCTATACCCAACTTATCAGAGCTTTCCTAAAAAATATTTGTTCTCCATGAATAATTACAATAAACAGAAGCACCAAAATGCTAAAACCAACAACATAATTNACAAAACAAAAACAAAATTGTGGTTAATTTTTCCCCATTGTGAGCGGGAAGATGAAATTGAATTTGGAGTAATAAGGACTGCATTTTTGTGGCATTCTAATTCTATATGATTGAGAGAAATCATGAAGTAACATAAGATTCAAAATCAAATAGAGTATGTGGTTAGGGGAATGTGTTTAAAATCCACAACATATGAATAATCTTAGCAGTAACCCATCCTTGAGAATGGAGATCTGGAAACCTTGGTTTAATAGGTAAACTAAGTTCGACAATTTAGCAGAATCTTAAAAATTTACGCATTCTTAAGAATTCTCAAGTATTGTATTGCCTAAGAAAATAAAGAATTTTTAATGATGGACCTAAGGTGAAATAATGCAGGATACTATTAATAGGAGAATTACATTTACAAGTAAAGACGAAATAAATTGCTTCAATTGACGACTTACTAAATCGAGTATTGGTGTTTTATTGCACACAATCAACAGGTAAGTTCAAAGCTGTTGATATCAAGATATTTTATCTTGAAATTATGGTTAGATTAAAGAAATCGTGAAGTTTAAACCGCGGACTAGATCCTGGACGATGTAAAACAGAATATACGACATCTCGGGAATCTCATCTCGGTGTTTATATGACGCTCTCATATGATGTTGTGAATAATCCGGCAAGTCTTAAAGGTCGTCAGAATAAATCGTTTAAACCTCAAAAAAGACCACCTCGGTCAAAGGATAATTTATCGAGAAGTCATAGAAGACTGAAATTCTATCAAAATACCGACTTCGCGAAACGGACCGACTTCAACCCGACAGATGTGACGCTTGTCACACAGATAGAGGCGCGCCCATGCTCATCATTGCCTAAAAAGCTTGTCTACGACATCGCCGCCCCTAAAATGTCAAATCTTCATTAAAGCGGAGCTGATTTTCCTAGGGAGGTGTGCCAAGCATAACTATAAATAGCAACTTCGAAAACAATACGAGGATTCGGCAAATCTGATAAAAAACACATATATTTAACTCGGTTTTTCCTTGTTTACCGACTTAGTGAACATTGAAAGACCGACTTCCCAATTCTGTAACCGACTTCAAAATCTTCAATAAAAATCTCATTTTTTACAATCTTTGTTGTTATTTTAACACTGATTACGTTGATTAAATCCGTTTATCAACATTTTGGCGCTAGAGGAAGGGCTCCATAAGATATTTGGAGTTAATTTTCGAAAACACACCACATCTCAAAAATCAAGAATGTCGCAGTCCGGACAAGATAATCCAACAACCATGGGAAGCGCCGTTCGTGTTGTCGAACCGCCAACCGGTCAACATAATCCAGCGCCTGTGATGCCGGACATTGCCATGCTCATGCAGAACCCAGAATTTGCTCGAGGACTCACTGCTTTGTTGGCCCAAACCATGCCAAGGCTATCACAAAGGATACCGGGACAACCTTTTGCTCCTATAACTCTGGCGAGACAACAAGGTCCTCCAATACAAAGAGATAACAACAATCAAGTGGCGTCACACGCCACTTCACAACCACGCGACAACAATCCACCCCCTCCACCGGCGAACAACGTACTGCCGGCGGAAATGAATCAACCAGAAATGAACCAGCCAGAAATAAACCAACCAGAGATGGTTGCTGAAAGTCATCCCGGGCATGTCCCCAGAATTCCCCGTGCAGTTCGTTCATTGTTTCAACAAACCGAAAATCCGGTTGACCTAAGAATGCAAATTGAACGCAATCGTTGCGCTCGACGTAATGTTTCCGAGGTCGAGGCATTAAGAAGAAAGGTGGCAGAGTTGGAAGCCCGACAAACCACTCAAATCAGGCCTTATCAGCATCCTCACGTGTCAGAACCGGGCCATGTCTATATGGAAGTCGGTTCTCCTTTGGCACCCGAGTTAACCAGAGGCCCGTTGCCGAGAAAAGTCAAAGTCCCACAGATTGGCCTCTATGACGGAAACGCTGATCCTGACGCTCATCTCGGACATTATACGTCATGGATGGATTTACTTGGTGCAGACGACGCTCTACGATGTCGTATGTTTTCTTTGACCCTAGGTCCTAAAGCTCAGAAATGGTATTATTCGTTACCGACCGAATCTATCCGATATTGGTGTCAACTCAGATCAGCTTTCAGATCCCATTTCATCGGGGCTCAAGTTAGCTTAATACCTAAGGAGTCAATTACAAACATAATCCAGAAGGAAGATGAAAGTTTGAAAGATTATATTGCGCGCTTTAATGAACGCGTACAAAATATGGAACCTTGTCATCCTGAGACACTTCTTGTCTCGGCGATATCAGGATTAAAGCCAAGGTCCATGTTTCATTGGGCATTATGTCAAAACAAACCGAGCACTTTTTAAGAATTCCTCGTTCGAGCTCAACAACATGTTATTGTCGAGGAGTCCATGTCGGTTCCTAACTTTGAATTCTCACCGTCAAAAGGACAGAAACCGACCTTCGAAAACAAGAAAAAGAAGCATCTCGGTAACATGTCCAAGAACCTGTCCTTTAGAGAGCCATACAAAAGCGAACCCAACGATACCGACGTGAAGGCCGCCAGGAAACAATACAAGGAAGATTTAACCACTGGATACCGATCAATTTATTCGGTTGGCGCCGCAACGGTTTATCAAAAAATCAAAGGAAAAGGAATTATGCCTGAAGCCCGACCAGTAAAAACTCCCGAAAGTCAGCTGGACAAATCGCGGTATTGTGATTATCATCGATCCCCAGGTCACAACACCGACGAATGTCTAAGTCTGTTGTCGGCTCTCCTGAAGTTGATTGGAAATCCACAAGTGAGAAAATTTACCAAACATGAAGGTAAAGAAAGACGGCAAATAGCTCATATTCCTGACCGAGATGAAGAAGACGAAGAAGCAATGAACTCGAAAAGAACTCGTCTACAACAAGGAGAAAAAGAGATATTCATGGTCGGGTCAGAAGAATCCAAGTCGGTCGACGACCGACTTGGAAAGAGAAATAGGGAATTCGAGAGTCCCAATGCCAACCACACTCCTCAAATCCCAATTCGGTTAGGCTCCGTTCCCCGAATTAACACTAACCGAGAAGAGTTGACGTCCTCACGTCGGCAGGCCAAAGCATATGCTAGAAGAGCATACAACTCGGGGAAACAAATAATGACTACCGATCTGAGGGAAACAATTAACTCGCGCACGTGTCCGATCACTTTCACATTAGAAGATGCAAGCTTGTTTGATCACCCTCATTCCGATGCGTTAATCATAACCGCCCCCATCTGCGGAATTCCTGTTCACCGTATAATGGTGGATACCGGCGCATATTCAAGTATCCTTATGCTTCAAGCCTTTAGGAAGCTTGGACTTGACTCAGCCGACGTACGTCCATGCAACGATAAGATACATGGATTTAACGGAAGCGTATCTCTCCCGTTAGGGGAAATCACTCTCCCCATCAGGTTTGGAGGTCATGGGCAAACTTCTAAAGTTATCATGGAAAATTTCAAAATCATGGACATCAACAACGAATATAATGCCATAATTGGAAGGACATCCCTATACAAATTGCGAGCAGCAGTGTCCATTTTTCATTATGCAATCAAATTTCCAACCGCTGATGGTGAGGGGACTCATTATGGTGATCAATTAGGAGCTCGCGAGCTGATCTTAGCAATTCCTTCTCGAGAAATCCATAACTTGGAAATGCACGTCGAGGAAAAAGAAGAGATGATCGACTGTACCCGAATTCCACGAAGTTTGGTTCCTGAAGACGTTCAAAATGCCGATATCAGGATTGTTACAACTCTGTCGGAAGTTCAGCCGACTTCGGCAGTTCCAACTTCAAACC